CGTTATATTACATATTAATACGTTAAGAAGTTGGGCATACCATTCCGATGATGATCGGTTTGACGGCGCACAAAGCATTCTACCTTCACAAAGAAAAAAAACCCATATAATATTCGTTATTAATTGTTCTCCTTTTCTAAGACAACCGAATTTCAAAATATAGTACCTAACTTAAAATGTGGAGTCTATAACAATGCCAATTATCATTTGCGTTTTAGACCATTTTGAACGAGTTTCGTTGGATTTTAAATATATAGCATCAAATCCATATTCAATATTATGCCTCCTACCTCATAATCATAGTGCATGAAATGCAAAACCCATTTATAACACTCCTCGCGCATTAACAAATGTTCGTTCAAACTAATCATTAGAGGTATAAATTTAATCCTTGAAATTTAAATTAAGACAATTCAAGTTGATTCGTGTTCTTGTTTTTTTGATTTTTGTAATAATCATTGACCTCAGATAAGTAAAGCTTTCGACATTGTCAGTGCCTCTACGATCATGTTTAAAATTAGTTGACCGCTAGAAAATTGAAAGCCCTACTGGAGAAGCAAAACAATAGTTGTCCAAAAAAGCTGTGCTATTTATACTATTATTAATTAAAACCAAAAAGAAAACCAACTTATAATTTCAAGAGAAATACTGACTTTTATAGAAATATATCAATTATTTGGTGTTATCAAAAAGCATTAAAAAACTTTTTATGCCACTATTGATATTATACACTATTTTTTTGCAAATATATGCAGTATATTTTAAGTCATAATTATGTACATGTAATAATTCAAATTTCTTATTAAACTCCAATAATTAAGAATTTTGTCTCTTTTGACAAGAATTTAGGAATAAATTTGATTAAAAATTTGTTTTGGATTTAAAAATTTTCTTAATATTACTAATAAATTCCAATATGCATCAACATTTTCAGCTGCAGCTATTTTCGCCTTTAAGAATGTCTTTAACATTCATTTATTTGCCTTTCTATCTGCTGGCTTGCGTTTGTAATAACATCAATAGGCGAATAGTTAGTGAATAGTTAACGAATAGTCATAAAATAATCATAATCATGACTATTCGTTAACTATTCATTATTTGAGTTTTAATCGGATAATGAAAGCATGCTTTATACCGCAGCACCACAACCATTTCGCGATTCTTCATGGAGGTTCTTCAAACTCCTTATGGAGAGCAACTCAGACTAGGATAATACTATAGCCCGCAGACAAGGTAAAGAATCCATGCCAGCTAGAACTAGAGAGCTACTTATGCTGAACAGAAGTGGGATCCGACTTGTCACAGGGTTTCTCACTGGGCATTGCGGAGTTAAAAAGTCTATCGAGAGAAAACAACAGAACACATTTTGTGTCACTATAATAGTCTTGCCAGAGTCAGACTTCGGTACTTATCAATCCAGTTTATTTTAAGACTTAAAGTAATTTTTTTTATATTAATATTAAAAATTTTGCTGTTGCATTTCTTATATTCAATATGTTTAAGTTTCAGATATTCAATATATTTCACTTAAACTGTAAATTGAAATATCATATGAATAATTTTATATGAAAATTTTTTAAAAAGAATTGCCTTACATACAACATTCCGTGATATCATTTCATGTACAAATATTGCAAGAAAAAAAACAAATAAAAATAAGAATGATAAAAACATATAAATAAATAAATAAATAAAATCGAAGTAAAAAGGCAATAAAAATATTTCACACGAATTTGCCTTTTTCATAAGTTCACTCACATATATCCACACCCACAAGAAAATGCACACGCAAATAAATTTGAAAAACTCTTCGTGCATTGTTACTCATACGCTCCGTGGCGCATCCTGTTTTGTTTCGTTTCACTATACGTGAAAACTGAACTTGTACCACTAACCCAGTTATGCTGTGAAAAAATATGAATGCAACAGTGGCCAAAATGTTGTGGCTGTTCGGGAATTTTAGAAAAAATTGCAAGTGCCAGAGTAGCGAACGTAGCTTAACGAGGAGTGCTACGTACATTACTAAGCACAAACGGAAACACAATAATAACAACAACAACAATACAAACAACAACACCAACAACAATAGTGCCAATAGCAAACGAAGACGATAATGCACAATTTGTGTCTCGTTGAGGTTGTCAAACTATTTGTTATGAGAGCACATAGAGTATTTTCTATTGGAGCGAGCGTAAGAAATGTTGCGCTAAAAGAGCACAATTTCAAAATTGGCAACGGAACAAAGAGAAATGCCGGTAAAATTGCAATAAGGATAAAGGACATGCGTTTTATCAACTCAAACATACAAAACGTGCTTTCCTTGTTCGAAGCATACAAATTGTGCCATGAAATGTATGTTTGAGCTTAAATGACTCAAACAATAACATTGAGTGAGCCATTCTTGTTTACAGTGCAATGTTAACAACATTTGTTTAGCAACATTACTGTTGCTAGTTTAATAGAAATAGTTGGCGTTTGTAACTGGTAGATTGAAACCAGTTTATTTGCAATAAGTTGAGATACTTTCAAAAGAAAGTAAGAGCATTGAGCTTTCTTCATTATTCATTTATGTGGTCAGTTCGAATATTTTTGTAATAATGTTAAGTTGTTTAGTTGTCAACGTTTGTGAGCAATGAAGAGTTTATTTAGTCAAATTTTGATTGCTTTCATATTTTGTGGCTTAGGCTTTTATTTGCTGTTACGTGAATGCCTTGTATTTATAGCTAAAGAAGTTTGTATCTTAGCAGAAACTAACAAACTCACTTACCGGCAATCATTTGAGAATGAACGGCACCGCGACAATGAAATGTTTTTACTTAGAAGTTCGATTGCGATATTAACGCGACGGCTGCAATGTTGTTAAAGCAAAATTAATATAGAAAAATTAAAAAAATAACCCAGTATTGAAATTAAAAATATGTGAATGTGAGTATTGCAGTTAGTTATCATTGCTTATATCATTTTGACTAATCTCTATAAAATATGCAAAAAGATATTAATTGTAAATTTTAATATCAATATTTTATTGCAATTTTAATTTTTATTTCATCGATTTAGATTAAAATTTAAATAAGTAAGCTTTGTTTAATAAAAATTTATATTCTAAAAATATGAGCATTATAAAAGTTAGATTGTGAATAAGCTTCCAAAAATTCTCTCTAAGCAAAATTATAGTTTGGATTGAGCAATGGCATCGGAAAAAGTAAAATATTATTCATTGCATTTAAGTGTTAATATCTAGCTGGTGTTTAATATAAAATAACATTGGAAAGACACACTCAAGGAAGTAGATTTGAAGTACGAAAATGTTTATTGACTTATATAGTAGGCCGGCAATCACTGTATTCCGCCTATAAAAAACTTCTCAAACCCGTATCGTGTTACAGTGCTCCACTCTAGAGATATTAATCAATTAATTGAAAAAATACGTGGGACATATATGGAAAAAGAGAATAATAAGTATATTAAGAATTATTTTTGGTAGTGAAAAAAATACCTTTGGGTCATGGAAATCATACTCCTCGTATTCAATTAAGTTCAACTATTTTCATCTATCTGTTTATTTTAAATTCTGACTATATATTGTTGATAAGTTTGGTCCATAATGTACTGCTGACAATTTCTGAAGCAACAGTTTTTCTATAATTGATGCCAAGAGAGCAAAAGATGACGGTTGGGCTAATAATTATTTTTGAAGAAATGTTTGGACTTATTTAAGATACAGTGGTTCAGGAAAGAATCAGATCGCAGCGAAGTTCGTTAAGTGGATATCAATTTTTATTGTTTATAAACACACAATGATATTATGCACATTATTTTAAATTCAATAGAAATAAAATACAAAAATATTTATAAAACATACATTTTAAAACGTCATCGCCGATATTTAAGTTGATAAATCAACTTAAGCTGCGTTCTCACTGTAATGTGATCTTTTAAATTTCATAAAAAATGTTAAGCTTCATACCACTGTACTTTTTTTATTGCAATTAATCATTTTGTTTTGAAAATTTTTAATTTCACTTTCATTTTATTCATTTCTTCTTTATCTTCGATTATCAAGTCATATGGCCAACACTCGTATAGCTATGATCTCGTGCTGCAATCGCGCACGATCGGCGCAAGTCTGTCTATTCCCGAACTATTATTCATAACAAAGCACAGCGAATTAAATAAACAACAAAAATTAATTCAAATAACAACAACAACAAACAGTAATCTTCAATACACCAATAATAACAACTATAGGATTTGATTTATCGCAAAGAGTAAAAAATCAATACTACATTAATTCTCTTGTGATATGCGAGTATATCAGATTAGCTCAGAGACTTTTTTTTGAGCTTGCAGTCAGCTGTTATTATGTGCAGCGACTTATGTGCAACTTGTGATGAGGGGCAGATCTCCATTATCACTACGCTCTGATGACAAACAACAACAATTTAACATTCGTTAGCTTGAATCTTAAAAAAATGTTATCAATTTTTTATTGTTTATATATAAATCTATAGATTATAAATGAATAGTTTAGTTTTAAAATGACGTATCATGCTTAGTGAGACGAAATTGCTATCATCATACTACGCTTTGCAGTATTTAATAAAAAAAAATCAGTAAACAAAACAAAAACGGTTCTAAATTACCATTTTTTAATGGCCTTGTTTTTTTTTTGTTTTTTCAACGACCCAGCAAGAAATAATGTGTTTGAAATGTAAAATATAAGTAACATTTGGTAATGTTTTTGTTTATAATATGCTGAAAATGATGACTTTACATAA